CCCTCTGTTTTCCTTCCTTCACTTCTGTGCCTCACTCGGCCTCTTTGCCTTTCAAACTGCAAGGCATCACTGGGTGGTTGTTCATCTCACATGTAAGGTGAAAAATGGAGCTTATGTAGTGTAGTGTACAGTACGTATATGACCTGCAGGCAGTGTGCAACCTCTGTCCTCCTGGCTCCTGCAGCTTTATTAATGGAAATGCATTTGCTATTATTAACATGCCATCACTGAAACACTCTGGACATGGCAGCCGGTAAGCTCAATGAAGATCATGAAACCATTTGGTTTACAAAATGCTTGAAGTCCTGTCAGGGGCCACAGATGAAATAAATGCTGGTTAATTTATAGTTTTGTTAGATAGTTTGAAAACTTGAGTGTGCCCTGGTGTCTGAGGGGTTAAGGTGCAGACTGTGGCCTGAGACGTCTTTTGGCTGTACGTTACACATAATACAACAAATGACAATATGAGCATGATAACGTCATAAGCTACATAGGTAATAACACAATGTGTGTTATGATATGATGAGATATATATATACTGTAATATGTAACAAACATGATGCAATACCCATAAATATGAACAACACAATGTGATACAACGCAACACAGCACAACACAAAGTCAATCAAGTTTGAAATAATGTGACGTGACACCAAAGACATCAAAAATTCTCACTGTGATCCCCCCCCCTTCTTCTCTCACAGTGCCCTCTCACCCAGGGGTGTGTAGCAGTGTGTGTGAGTGTGTGTTTGTGTGTGTGTGTATGTGAGTCGCAGCCTCAGGAGCCATGTCAGACCCCAAAGACATCGATGTGGATGCCATCCTCAAGGCCCTCAGCCCGGAGGAACTGGATCAGCTGGATTATGAGCTGCAGGAGATGGACCCAGAGGTACTGAGGAGCACTTGATTTGTCTTAACGTGCCAGGCGGTTGACTTCTCAATATTTTGTGCAATGCCACAAGGCCTTTGTGGTTAGGTCATATGTCTTGCAGGGTTTTGTTCCTCCAGGTGGTCAATCAGTTTGTTCTGGTTGTACCTCACAGCAGCTTGTTAACTGTCAGAGGTACAAAGACCTGCAGGATATGTGACGGCAAAGGCAGGAGGTGCTTTCAGCTTTCACTTTAACGCCATCATGTCCCTTCACTGAGCCCACCAGTGATCAAATCTGTTACTACAAGAAGGGAACAGCATGAGAACAAGGGCCAACAATCAAATGAAATAGGAAATCAGGCAGTGTTCTCCACTGGTTAAAGCAAGAGTTGCCATTCCAAACTTTCACAGTTTAAAGTACAATACTTCAGATTTTCTCCCTTTTAACAATAAGTCAACATACAGTATAAATGAATACACAGTGAAAGTAGAATATCAGTGAACTTGACATTACATTTTACTGTAGATTTTAATGCTCTTACACACCATCAAATCTTTGTAACATGCATGTAGAACTAAACTCACATCAATAACAATAATTTACTTCCTGTCCTCCCAGAATGCCTTGCTGCCAGCTGGCTTACGGCAGCGTGACCAGACAAAGAAGAGCCCAACGGGGCCTTTTGATCGTGATGCCCTGATGCAGCACTTGGAGAAGCAGGCTCTGGCGCACCCGGACAGGGAAGACCTGGTGCCCTTCACTGGGGAGAAGAAAGGTGGGGGCTTGGTGCTCATTCTGAAGACCTCTGCCAGATACACTGCCTCAAATACTGAAGTTTACATTCAGTCTTGCAGCTAGACAAGGCATATTTGTATGAACAACACACAAGATCTCTACTAAGTCTTTTGTAATTTCAGACCTCAGCGCCAAGGGTGTGACACCCTTGGTGCTGGAGATCCACTGGAGGTCATAACAAAGATGGACTGAAACAGAAAAATCCAAACTGTCTTCTCAACAGTGTGGGAGAGCACAACGCTGCACACGTTGACCTTTTGTTTTTATTTGGTATAAAGCTTCACAAACCAGATAGAATGGTTAACATTAGGCATTGTTCAGTTGCTGACCTCCGGGTGTTCTCAAACAGATACACTACTAAATGTGGAGCCTCAGGAACATTTCTATAACGTCACTAATTTGACATTTAGTGCTTTCCACAGTATTATCCTGGTGACATTATGAAGTTCATACCTCGGCGTACAGTTATGTGAAAAATGGGTCCCACTGCCATCAGCTGTACCACTGCTGATTGTACCAAATAATACATTCTGGCTTATCTCATAAATAAAAAATACAGATGAAAAGCAATTTGAATGTTTTAATTGCACACAGTAAGACTGAAGGTAAATGTTTCCTTCCTGCTGCTGCTGCATCTCCATCACATGATCCCTGGGGAGAAACACCTTTCCATCAGGTTTTGACATTGCAATGTTTGCATTTGCATTGCATCAGCAGAGGTTTCTTAATTATAGAATTACCACATATGGTGCACTGGATAAAAATTGAAATGGTACAGCAGCTCTTTACCCCCAGTTTGTGCATGTCCTGTTCCTTCTCCCTCACAGCTGTGCAGTACTGTACTCTGTGATGCACCACTGCACAGCAGATCAGGCTGTGTTGGGATTTTACAGCTCACTGAGTTTTGAGGCCATTTTCACCATAGCACTGGGAACTGACTTGTCTGAGACCTTTTGTACTGTAGTTCCCATGCAACACATCTAATAAATATGAAAAAGAAATGCAACGGGCAAATTTATGTTGTGTGTAAAACTAGCTGCTTGGAGTCACAAATGAAATTGTGACGCAAAGAAAAAGACAAAAGAACACAGTGAAACACTGGGTTTATTAGAGCTGTCTGTGAAGTGACGATAAGCCCTGGTTTGCTTGTATTTTGGGAAACATGATCTGAACAGAGTTTTTACTCAAACAGAGACAAATATAAGGCTTGAGAGCTTCAGACTGCTGAACATAAAGGCCAGATTTGTGCAGTATACGACTGATTGTTGTCCTATGGACAGAGTCTCCCACCTCAGCTGTAGATCTCTGCAGTTCATCCAGAGTGATCATGGGCCTCTTGGCTGCATCTCTGATCAGTCTTCTCTTTGTATGAGCTGAAAGTTTAGAGGGACGGCCAGGTCTTGGTGGATTTGCAGTGGTCTGATACTCCTTCCATTTCAATATTATTGCTTGCACAGTGCTCCTTGGGATGTTTAGCTTGGGAAATCTTTTTGTATCCAAATCCGGCGTTAAACTTCTCCACAACAGTATCTCGGACCTGCCTGGTGTGTTCCTTGTTCTTCATGATGCTCTCTGCGCTTTAAACGGACCTCTGAGACTATCACAGTGCAGGTGCATTTATTCGGAGACTTGATTACACACAGGTGGATTCTATTTATCATCATTAGTCATTTAGGTCAACATTGGATCATTCAGAGATCCTCACTGAACTTCTGGAGAGAGTTTGCTGCACTGAAAGTAAAGGGGCTGAATAATTTTGCACGCCCAATTTTTCAGTGGTTTATTTGTTAAAAACGTTTGAAATATCCAATAAATTTCGTTCCACTTCATGATTGTGTCCCACTTGTTGTTGATTCTTCACAAAAAATTACAACTTTATATCTTTATGTTTGAAGCCTGAAATGTGGCAAAAGGTCGCAAAGTTCAAGGGGGCCGAATACTTTTGCAAGGCACTGTACATCTTCCTTCCTCTTAGACTCTGACTGTACATTCACTTGTTTGCCTTCTTTTTATCTGCCTTCTCATTTCCGACTGCCCTCCTGTTTTTCCTTAAAAAGTCCCTTGTTACAATTAAAAGCCCTGCACTGAAAATATCACTTAAGTAAAAGTACAAAAGCATTAGCATCAAAACATACTTAAAGTACTAAAAGTAAAAGTACTCATTATGCAGAATGAAACATTTAACATTAATGTATTTCTTATTACAATTACTGATGCATTATTGTGTACACCACATTTAATGTTGCAGGTGGTCAGGGGCGGGCTTATTTTTAACTAGCTTATATTATTATAATGTGAATTACTGCTGGGTAGGAAGTGAATTTTCCACTGAAGATTAATAAAATATTACGATCATACTGTTAACAGTTTTAATTAAGCTGGTTTTGAAAAGTAACTAAAGTTATAAAATAAATATATTGGAGCCAAATAATACATTAATTGCTTTCTAAAACGTAGTGAAGTTGAAGTTTTATGTAGCACAAAATGAAAATAGTCAAGTTAAGTACAGATTCTCAAAACTGTACCTAAGTACAGTACTTCAGTAAATGTGCTTAGTTACTTTTTACCACCGCTCTTAATCCATCTTGTCTGTCTATCTGCAGGAAAGGCCTTTGTGCCTAAGAAAGCACCCGAGATCCCCAAGCATGAGCAGGTGTTGCTGGAGCCGGAGCTGGAGGAGGCTCTGAAAAACGCAACCGATGCTGAGATGTGTGATATTGCAGGTTAGACCAACAGTGTTGCTGCTACCACTGCTATTAGTAGAAGGAGTAGTGACATTACTCCTCTACCACTTATCCTGTTTAGATAACGAGGGATGAATGTCACAAGTCTAACAAACACACCCTGAAGACATGCTATACATTGTACACGCATTCTCTGCACAAATGTTTGCAGTAAAATTCACACTGCTTCCTTGCAATTGAGTTCACCTTCTATAGATCAGCTGTAGCCTCTGACCAGTTTGGAAACCACTGAGTGGTTTGTGGTGGAAATGTGGAGAGATACTAGAGAGGAGTTGGGTCTGTTTCACACCAGATAACGTAATGGGTATGTAAGTAATAACATAAAGGGAAATTGCTGCATTGCATTAATTGCTATACTGGAACAGTTATTAGAATTATTAGTGACACCTTTTGTTTTATAAGAAACTGTCTCTAGGTCTTTGAATCTGATTCATTTGGAAATGAAGAAAGCACTCTGATGCTAACAGAAGTTGGCAAAATTACATGAGAGAGCAAAAATGGCATGTAACAAGATGGACATATTCAGGTCTGGTGTCAGCAGAACAGGAGAACAGTGTGTCCTTTTTCATTTGCACAATAGAAACGAGTGATAAACATGTTCATGTTCTTGCTAATGTTATTTCAGTCATTCTACTTGGCTGCTTTTGATTGTAGTTTGCCCGGTAAATAAAAAAAGCAGTCACATTATGCATCAAGAGGGATGTGGCATTTCCTCCAACAAATCAGTATCTCACCCCCGTTATATCCATCAGCAATGGGATTGTGATGTCACTGCGGATAGGCTGATTATTTCAAACAGGATATGCTGCAATCTCACCTCAGTGGAAACTCATCATTCTTAGAATCATCATTACACCTGTGCGTTTCCTGCGAATGCCAAAATTTCTGCTGTGAAGAATGTCTATTCTTTCTATGATGTCATCTGTTTGTCCACACACTGTT